GCCTTTGAAGTATTTTATGATTAATTTTAGAGAATTTTAGGGATGATGCAGTTATTTTAATGCAGTCCCTTCATTTAATTCTACAGGCCGCTTTTCAAGACTCTACAAAAACTAACAAAAATTTTAGCACATCTACATTAGGAAACATCATCTTCCTCTCACCCTCATGATAATCTCTGGATGTGGGGTATATTTGAAGCATCTCCTACATTTTCTCTGCAACATCAGCTTGGAATTAGGGTAAAGTACCAGAACAGAAAATCTCAGCACAAGGCAGCTCACTTTTCTGATTTAAGAAGAAAAGTGCCATTTACAGAAAAGAACATTTATATGTTCTTTTATATATAAATGAAAAAGTTTTAAGTATTTAAGTTTTTGTATTTAGAATAATGTAATAAGAATGTAATAATGTATTTAGAATAATGTAATAAGAATTTTGTATTTAGAATATATGTATTTATATATATATATATATATATATAAAAGCATATTAAAAAACCTTCATATTAAAAAACATATAAAAATGTCAGCCAAGTAATATGTATCAGAGAATCTCAAGAAACAAACAGAAGTCTAACAAACCACTGTGTGTCTGCCTCAACACATGTCCATACTGGATCTGAGTTCACACTGGACCTGTGTGAGTTCACACCCAACTCTGGAAAAGCATTGCATCAAAGAGCATCTCTCAATGGAAAAACAGCTAAAGGAACAATTTCCCCACAACAGCTGTGGGGGTAAGAGAGATATTTGAGTTTTCTCCAGGAGTAAAAGCCCACTGAACACAAATAGTTACTATTAGTTGCAAAATTGCATTGAACTCCAGCAAAAGTTTGTTGCTATTAGTTTTGTTGTACCAAACACTGAGCTAATGACAGAGTGCAAAGCAATTTGAGAAGTACTGATTCTAAATACAAAATAATTCTGTTACAAATGGGTTTAAGTTTTTTTGAAGCATTACCCAGGACACCATCAGACTACTACCTTCTGTGCTGTGGAGGAGAGATGGCAAACACTGTAGATCTTGCAGCCCTCCAGCATTCTAGCCACGCTGCCTTCCCTCACCACCTGCTTGAAGAGTAACTGACTGGGACTTACCTACAGCAGTGCCACTGGAGTTTTCCAAAGTGCCAGCATTGATCCACTAAGAGTCTCCCTGGTGCTCCTGAAGTCACCTTCATTTGCTATCACTCAACTGGGGTGCAATGGTCTCTGCAGCACCATGGAGGGAGGGACCTCTTATGGCAGCGACTGCACGATGGCAACACTGCATGTTTCTAAGCCATGCTGACCCTTTCATATTAAAGTCAATTACATCATTTGAGTACTTGCACATCATTTGAGTATCTTGCACTTGTAGCAAAAGATATCAGGTGTATAAGAAACTATGCATATTTTTCTTTCTGAACAAAAGGCAAGTAATTTATTGAGCACGACATTATTGGTTGCAGAAAGTTCTATGAAAGTACTTGGTACTTTTTTAAAATTCAAATCCAAACAATTTTCATTCTCCCTTGAAATCAAGTCTTTTTTTAGGCATTGCTAACTTTGCAAAGCACAAAGTGAGCTCTTCCCTGTTGCTTTAGGAGGTTTAGATTAACTGGAGCTGTATAAATGTTGCCCTTTATATCATGCAGTCAGCGAGGGCTTGGTTTCACCTACTCAGTCATTTCACTGGCAGCACAGCTGTGCTGGTGGCAGTGAGTCCAGAAGGACCAGCAAAAAATCAGAACAGTCCATCTCCCTATTTCTTGGGCTTTCTGCTTAGGATATATTTGAACTTTCCAAAAGCTGTCAAACAAAGCTGCTGATACCATTCCCTGGGCTGTTGTCAGCAGGATCAGCTGGTATCTCCCAACTCAGCCCTCGCTGTAACAGGCTGACCCAGGCACACAGGGTGATCCAGCTGCACAGTAGCCCCAGGCTGCATCCTTGAACCATGCCCTGCATTCTGCATGTGCCCCATCACATGTTCAGGTACTGACTACCGTCTGTACCAGGCATTTCTGACTGCTGGCTTATTTACCTGCCAAGCACACTTTCAAATCCCAGTGCCTACCAAAGCTGCATGTGAAGTCTGAGCAATATCTTTTTATTTAAACCTTCACTAGGGTGGCTGAATTTAAAAGAGTGTCTAGCAGCCTGCAATCAATTTATGCAAGTCAGCCTGGTTCTTCCTCTCAGCTGCATTATGAGGAGCTACTTAAATTCCCTTGCACTATACACTAAGATTTCCTGCTTTTCAAGACTGAGAGAGTTTAACTTGTATTGCAGCTGCAATGTCTTGCAGCTCCGTGCTTCTATTAAGTTTGCATAACTGTGAAAATCTCTTGGGTACATTGATACCAAAGGCTGAATCATCTCATGCAGTAACACTGCTTTGTCATGCCCTGGGGGTTTAGGAGTGTGACCAGCCTCACTTAACCACCTGCAATAATATGCAGACACATGTCTCTGCCCTCCTGTCTGTGCACTGAATTCTGCTTCCTAATTGCTTAGCCAGGGCCTGCTGGACTCAGCAGATCATCTTCAGCAGCCACCCTCTCTCTCCAGGCTGGCACCGCAGGGCAGTGGAAACACAGGACGTCCTAGCAGGGGATAATTTGCAACATCTCAAGGCAGCCAAACAAAGTCAACCAAATTTCAACTTTAGATCCCTTGATCAATTTACTTAGTTGCAAATACAGATGATTTTGCACAGCTAAGTTTGTGGAAAGAGAAAGCAATATAGGATGTGAATTAGTTGAAAATTTGGTGAGTATATAATGACAGGGAACAAAACTTGTATTTCCTCAGAAACTTTAGAGAAAATTTAACAGCAAAAAGGGTCACTGTGGTAAAGATGGGATTAAAAAGACAAACTGAAAATTAAGACCTTTAGCAGTGCCAAAACACAATATTGGTAAATAATTTGGAGTTATGAGTTACATGCTCAAATTCCTTTTCACTTGGCACTTATTTATTACTTTAAATGACTCTGTAAAAAGCTTGCCCCAACTTTTTGTCTCACTTATTCCAAGACCTGTTGCAATGAAACAAAATCCACAGCTTCCCTCCCAGGCTGGAGTTTCTCCCACAACATTCGCATAACCTTTCCTCTTCCACTCTTCAGACTAGAAACAAATATTCTTGGTAGACTTCTTTGAATGCCAGAGCTGGGCTGCCTAATAAAACTAAGTCCACACAAGTTCGCAAAGATTTAGCAGTAAATCTTCTGTACTAAAATCTCTACAAAATATTGTAATGGTGTAAGGTCAAGATATACAGGGATGGGGCTCTATGAGGACAGAGGTACACAAATTCTTTCTATTTAACTTGCTGACTTATCTCAGTCTTTTGCCTCAAATCATCATAACTAATTTGTAATGCACAAGAAAATCCTCATTTCATTATGAATGTGTTCAAATAATCCTAGCTTAATGTATAAACTATTGACAAGCCTTTCTACAGCACTTCATTTAGGTCACTTTACATTCTATTAATCGGCTCCACAAAAGGATAACAGCTCTGAAATCTGCTTTAGGACTTCATTTATATTTCCTTTCTCATAAAAATGTTCCTGCTATTATGGATCAGATCCAATAAGGCTTAATCAGTCATCTCTTGATGATGCAACAAATATCATCATAAGCAACCTCCTGCTACATCAACCCCTTGCACAACCACTTCTCCCATCAGCCAAAACTCCAAATTAGTCCTAAAAATCTAAACAAAACTGCACGAAGAAAACAGATACACACACACACACACACAGAGAAAATAAATATCAAAATGCACATTAAAACAACTTCAGTGAGATTTTCTTTCTAGAAGAGAGGCAATCCATTTAAATTATTCTTTAGAAAACGAAGCAGAAGAGCAATGCTCCCTTCCCTCCTCCCTTCCCAGCTCCCACTTCCTGAAGCCTTCCTCCTGGCACGTACTTTTTGGGTTCAGCCGAAAGCATTTCCCTCCCCTCCGCACATCTGCTCTGTGCAGGGCTGCCGAGCTGCGACTCATCCTGAGGAGCGCTGGAAATCCCAGGCTTTAAAAAGCCGCTCGCAAGCCCCTCCTGGGCTGCCAGGCTGCCAGCTCCGGCAGCGATCGAAGCGCAGCATAGCCCCCAGCAAGCCACACGACCTGCCAGTCACCCTCACTGGCCACACCACCGCTGTTCCAAGTGCAAAAAGATGACTTGAAACAAACAAATAAACAAACCCTATCCACACCCAAATACCTCACAATTCAAAAAATAATACATAAATATATACACACACACACGCATACATACATATATGTGTGTATGTGTGTATATATATACACATATATATGTATATATATATATACATATATTTCTTAAAAGGATAGACACCCAGAGGAGCTCGTTTCCAGGGCAGCCCAGCTGCTGTCTCTGCCCAGCCCATCCTGGCAGCACAGGAGCCCCTGCGGTGCCACCACCGAGGCTGGGCACCCTTTGAGAGTCAGTACCTGAGGCTGTGCCTGCTGCCCTGCAGTCCCGAACAGGCAGCCTGGGATGGAGGGCACTGCCTGGGATTTCTCTTGTGGCAACTCGTGCCCCTGGCCTCTCATGGTTATGCTGGAAGAAGCCTGGCTCTGTCTTCCCTGGAACCCCTCTTTAGGGGGCTGGAAACAGCAGCTGGGCACCCCTCACCACCCCTCATTCCCCCAGCCTCTACTGGCTGGCCAAACTTGGCTTCAGCTTTCCCTTTGCAAAGCTTTCCCTGTGTTCCATTCCCACGGCCCATGAGCCCCCTTGGCCAGGTTAGGGTGGCTGTGCCCTGCTGCACAAGTGAGCAGCGACATGCCCAAGCCATAGCTGGGTTTCTTGCAGGGCTGTCAAGAGACAAGGTATAAAACTTCCCAGCAACTCAGCCTGCAGTTAGGAAAACTTCATTCCCAGAATGATGGCTTAGCACTCAAGAATTTCCTGTCACAGAGGTGCTTGAATGGTCACAGAAAGTTTAGTGAGCAGCAGTGAATGGGTCACAGGAATTTCTTACCTCACAGAAACTCGTGGGTGTCATGTTGGTCGTAAAGCTGAGTATTTCAGAGGCACTGGAACATGATGGAAGGAGCAGGAGTCTGATTTCAGGCATGTTCTTTGAGAGCTTCTTTCTTGCACTGTGGACAGAAAGACATCAGAAAAGTAGTTAAATTTCCATCTCTATATCACTTTTATTTTCAATGTATTAATATTTTCCACATACTTGTTTTCAATGTTCTCCTTTTAAAAATAGAATGGAAAGGATGTGTGAGAAAGAGTTTTTTCTGAAGAAGAAAAGTTGCAAAGTAGTAGAGAAAGGAGGTAGAAAGTACAATTTAAACAAAGTTCAAGAAACTTACATGTCCCTTCCATTTAGGGCATGAAAGTGGTCACAGATGCTCAAGAGAACCTTAAAACTATTTATGCCCACAAATTAACCCTTTTAACGGATGATTTTAAAGATAGTAGAAACTGAACTACAGATATAAAATATACAAGAATGGTGAACATATACCACATATGTTCATACCACATATCTCCATCTGCAAATGCTGGAGAATACGCTGAAATCCCTGGACTAGAGGCCTAGATTTCAAAACAAAGTTTACTTTGGCATTTAATATCCAAAGACATGAAGAATATGTTAGAATATAATGGACAGTCAGCCAGAACAGAAAAAAAACCAAACTTATTTGCTGAAAACACAATATAGTGTTATGCATTGTATTATAAAAGTCAAATTATGGTGTCATTGTCATGCATAATTTAGACACCAGTACTGTTTGTTGGTCATTATTACTTCATCCTTGGGTTTCATTCCCTGCTGAACACCTTATTTCCACTCAATCATTTGACCTGATAAGTTCTGCTTCCCTGCTCTGAAGATGCCCAGTTGTTAGCTGCTGTCTTTCAGTGAGTTGTACGTTGGCATCTTGATGATGGTGCTTTTAGGCCTACCTGTTGACCTGATTCCTGTGATCTGCTGGCTGTAGATCTGTTTGGGAGTGAACTTCAATTCTTTTCCTTACTTTATAAGCTCCAAGTTCAAATCCACCAAATGACATGTACATTCAATATTGTTGCAGTTACATTTTTTGGTTACCTTACAACTTTTTCCATAAATATTGCTTTTCAGAGGAAAATACAATATTGGAGCTACTATATATATTAGTGATAGTTTTAGAACCTGATAATTTATAATTTGTTGGCTAATATTGTTTCTTATCTCCAGTGTTGTTTAAATTTTCTGTTAGGCAACAGAAATTATCTAACCCTATTATCCATCTAACCCTACTATCTATATTATCTATCCCTATATATCTATATCATGCCCTCTAACATGCAGAGGAGTGTTCCCTTTTTTCCTTTCCTTACAGAATTAAGTAAAATACTGGAAATGCCATTCTCTGAAACCTGAGACCTGAATAACTGCTCAGATGTTCTTTCTGAGGAACTGTTTTCTTTGCTCATGTTGTTCACTCCCACTGAAATCTGGAGCTGAAACTTCTGAGGACAAGCCATTACATACAATACCTCACATAGCTGGATCAAACTGAACCCTATCTTCTGTGAGATACTCTGATTAAAGGTAAGAATTGGACACCAAGGGAAAAGTTAAATGCCAACTAAAGCAAACTTCTTCACGCTTCAGACTTGCTTAGACTGACAGGTTCTTGGCTGACAATTTAAGTTGGCTGCTTGAATGACAGTGTTTTAGGTACAACTAAACCTCCAGCCAGAGGATTACTGAATTCCCGTCCCACACATCTCTTTTTCCTGCTCTCACATCAAGATTAGCTCTTCATTAGGCCTTTCTATTTCAGCTGTTTGTAATTAATGCTAGGACATGGGAAAATACAGTAAACCTATCAAATGAGTACAACCAAAGTGTTTGGACTCACTAAGCTTTATGAACTTCACTTGCATGCTTAAACTAACTGTGAGTTTAGATAAAAGCACTGAAAATCAGTGTCTTAAAATTAGTCACAGAAAACAGATTGCTCAAGTAACTGGAGAAACAGGTAAGGAATATAACTGCCTAGCAAAAGGTCAGATAAAATGCCTGAGACACAGTCAAGATCCAGGCACTAAGTGGTAGCAGTTCTGTGTGCAGATTTAAAGGAACCAACCAAATACTGAACAAAATGCAGTAAAGAAGAACAAAATGCAGTAAAGAAGTATACATGGCTGTTGGGTGTTTTTTTTAGGAAAAGAGAGTAGAGTGATTTTGGATGAGTAATAGCACTTCACATTTCTATGACACCTTTCATCCCTCAGGCTGCCAGTGCAGTTGGTAAATTTAACAAATTGAAGGACCTTGTCCTCCATACACTGGAATCATTTTATCTGTCACTAAAGGCATCCCTGGTGGAGCAAAAAGCAGTACCTGTTTAACAGGTTGGACCTATTGTGACAAATACCACACCTCAGCAAAGCCACAGGGAGAGGATAATTGTCAACAGCTGGAGCTAGTGCTGAACCCTGGATTGATCAGTTAGAAGAAGTCTGCTAGTATTTCTCCAGTTGTCACTGGTGATGACAACTTTACCACAGGTCTTGCAGAGCTGCCTTGCTCAGGGCAGGCTTTCCCATGACCCAGCTCCTCTGGGCACCCTCCTCAGCATGAGGTGCCTTCACATGCCACAGTCCCCCTCCTTGCAACACTTGAGTGTTATATTCACCAGACACAGCAAGAGCAGAGATGGACTGTGAACATCCAGGCACAAAAACAGACCCAGTGGTCAATCAAGAGATGCTGCACACTGAGAAATGTAGAAACATAGAACACTTCAGGTTCAAAGGGACCTTTAGAGGTGCAGTTAGCAGGGACATCTTCCACTAGATCAGAGGCCCTTGAATGTTTCCAGGTGATTAATCACCTCTCTGGGTAACTTATTCCAGTGCTTTACCAACCCTCGCTGCAAAAGATTTCTTTCTTATATGTAATTTAAACCAACCACCTTTTAATTGATTTAAACAGTCAACTTTGATCTAAGCCTTCACCAAGGTCATCTTTCCTTCATTGCAGCTGTATTTCTGGAAACACAAAGTGTCAAAGGTATTTCACACACAACAGACTGTTCACACATGCTCCTTCCTAAGGCACATGGGTCTGACAACAGCCTGACTGGCTCCTTGGAAGTCTCTGAACACTGAGATTAGCAAAGCAGGCTAAATTCAGTTACAGACTACTATCTATAATGGCAAAGGGAGGAAAATTGCACTGAAAAGCTCCTCCAGGCTTCAGATTCAGTTGGATGGGAGTGAGCTTCACAGACCCCTTATCTCACAATCACATCAGGGATCTCAGTCCTCTTTCTGTCCACTAATGGCTATTGATAATACACTTATGGCTACTGATGCTATGATCACTGAAGAGCAAAAAACAAGGTGAGTACAGCATGATTATTTAAAACTATAAACAAAACAACAAAAACTGGATGAAAGAAAAAAAATTAATTGAAACTAAACAAATGGCCAGTGAACTGGTACATTCTAGCTTTAAAAAGAAAAGAAGTAACATAGAAATCCCTTTCCAGATGTGCTGTTGGACCAAAAGACTGTCAAAGTCTGATGAGTAATCCACAGTCACATGTTCATTTTGGGAGAGAAGAGAGGCGTGTTTGGAAATGTGTTTTGAGCTGTCAAATAACCCACAGTGAAATAAAAAGAGGGAAAATAATCATATGCCAAGGAGAAAAATTGATTTATTCAACAGTTCATATTTTTCACTGGTTTAAAAATATCCAGAAAATTGATCCAGGAATTGTTCTTGGAACTGTTATAAGCTGCTGTGCAAACACTCAGTGCCATCCTGCTGAGCTTCTGACAAGTCTAAAAAGTCTCACATATTTCACATGGCAGCTGAAATATTTTAATTGCAAAGGAAAACAAAGTGTTAGCATGGATCAGGCCAGCTGAGTGTGAATGAAACAAATGTAGAAATTTTAGGGCTTGGAAAAACTCTAGAAGTTCCTTACTCAAGTACTTCTCAGGTAGGGTTATCATGGACAAGCAACAGTTTTTCAAATACTGAACTTCTACAGTATAATCTAGGCTTTAGTGTATGAATGCAGTCAAGGTATGGGTCAGACTTAAGCACAGAATTAGAATGCAAATCTCTCAGTTACAGTCTTCAAGGGATAAAGAAGACCCAACAATGCTTATCTAGGACACATCTTATGCACAGGTCACTCACTAGCAAAAATGTAAATCTGTACAAACTTGACTCTTTACTTCTCGTCCCCCACTAACAGAGCATATGCCAATGGCAGTGATTAATTGGGCATTTGTCTTTTCTTTCTCCTTCACCTCTGCCAAGACTAGAGAAGTTTTGCTTGCTTTCATCCCGAGAGTGAGAACTGAAGGCACCTGAGGTGGTGGTCCTTGCATGAAGAGGGGCTTCAGCACAATTCCTATCCCCTTCTCCAAGCCCCTTCCCTCATGGAGGCTGATATCCCTCTTATTCCCTTTTTCCACCAGCAGCAATGAGTTACCAGGACTCAGACACAACTTTACATCCCAGGCTTACCCTTATCCAGAGTCCTTCCCATGGAAAGAACAACCTAGTTGAGATCCACACCCAATCTCATTCCTCATTTGAAGACATTCATTTTCTCAGGTACACCAAAGGATTTCTAACCATGGCTTATAATCTTCATGGCCCTTGAAGCTCCTGCCTCCCAAGGAGAGGGACCTCAGCATCAAGGCACAGCCAAGGAATGTTATCTCTGCTGGAGACACAAAATGGCAGGGGAAGAAATGCAACTGTCAAATGACCTAAAGGAGGAATTCAACTTCATAATGCTCTGGGGAGACATTCACCTTGGGCACAGAGATCTGGGCTCTTATTTACCACTCCCAGCACTGCTGTGTGCCCTCTGGAAAGGCTGTTTGAATTGGAATGGAACTGTCCTAGAACTGGAATCTCAGATTAACATTTTGCTACACCACCAATACTGTAAACTTACTCAAAATACAATCTCTTTTACTTTAAACACTCAGTTTAAAAGCACAATTCGTGATACCACATGATTTCCACAGGAAAGACATTCTGATTTTCTACTAACTCACAAGTTTTTTCTCTGGCCTCATTCAATCACAGAGTTTTCTCCAAC